GTGACGTGGAAAGGAATGACAAGGACACATTGAAACCAGTCGCTAGACACTTTAATTTACCTAATCACTCTAAGCAACATATGGCAATCTGTGGTCTTTCCTTACACTTAGGCAGCACGGAAAGCTGTAAAACTCTTGAACAAAAGCTCATCTTTCAAACTGGCAGTCTAAATCCCACAGGTATCAACAAACGCTTTTCATTCCACTAAATTATTCGTGTTTTTCTCCTTGCCATGTTCCCACCAATAACATAGCTCCATTTTCTGCCTTTAAAGCACACACAACCCACAATTCCTCTATTCGCTACGACGAAGGGCTAACGCTTGAAACGTCAGCTTTTGTAATCGTTACGGTGGCCAATTTACCATTTCAACTCTGTCAAGTCTCTTAAGTGTTGGGCAAGCACCAATCATTGATCACTTGCCTGTTCAGCAAGTACAATTTTTGCCTCCAAGAAATTATTTAAATTGCGAATTAAACACTGCTTTTTACACTCCATTTTGCCAAGAAAATCCCTAAGTATAAAATATTTGAATCATGGCTTGCTGGTCAGTGATACTGCTGGTCAGTATCAAGCCATTGGTGACCTGGTAAAGATGTTGCCCTAAATTCAAAGCAAGTGCCTCCATTGTGTTTTCTTGGGATTTAAGGTCTTTAAATATAATTTTTCATTGAAGTAATAGTCTTGGTCTGCCTCATGCTTGACAACTTTGCGAGCAATTGTTTTTCTGTACTTTCCTGGCACCCTGAAAAATGCATGCTCTCCTGGTAAGTTTAAAAATGGAGGAAACTAGTCATGACCACAATGTGGAAATATATTTGCCGAATTTCTAAAAAAAATGGAAATTCCTAATGTGAAGGAGTTTGATCCCAGTCCAGCAATTAACAGTTGAATGAATGCTAGCATCAGGTCATGAAGATCAGTGTTCTGTCAAGGAGGCTCAAGCTGAAGTGAGTGAGACTGGAGAAGCTTGAAACTGACATTGTGGTAGTTGGAGATGATACAACTGCAGCTCCTGGACCAGCTCAACCCCTGCATGAAGCTGAGGTTAGGGATAATGGAGAAGATACAATTACAACTCCTGGGCCAGTTGAACCACTGCTTCCTCAACTTGAGGAAAAGGAAGTTGAGGTTGTATTCAGAGAGAAGGATGATGATGATGATGAGGGAGTTATTTCACACTACGAGTCAGAAGAAATGGTGCCAAAGAAACTGGAAAAAGAACTGCTGAGAAGAGAAACTAAAACAGACTTGCAGTAAATGGTTTGAACCCGGGGGTAACATGTGAAGGTGTAGTCTGATCGTCCGGGTGAGTGTAGTCCTGAGAAGGACTGTTGTCGGTGGTAGTGACTGACGTTTCGACAACCTGTG